GATACCCAGAGACCAAGCCCAGAATTTAGTTCACCCTAAGTACAGAGGGTATTATCAACCATAGGCTATCAAAAACAATCCTCTACTGTGGAGAACTCTAAAAAAGAAGATCAAATCAAGGGCAGTACAATGAGGATCAGAGTGCCTGGTAAGGTACAAAAATATTAAGTTTTATTTAACGTATTAAAAAATGTTGAATTACTAAAAAAAAAACACACCTACTGGCCACCACCAGTACACCCTATTAAAATACATACTCCAACAAGCTGATCAGCATATATGTTTGACCGGTACTGCTCACAAAATGGGAGCAAAACAGCACTAGGGGGCAATTAACCAGTACTGAGTACATATGCATGCTTGTACTTTTCAGAGTTACGATATTGTTCTATGTACAATCCTTGTTTTATTGATTGCTGGTAGATGTCTCAAATCGAGATATAGTAAATGAAAAAAAGGGACTATGGGATGGCAGCTGAATAGCTTTTGCTTCTCCGCTGGATTCGGAAATCTTTTTATCCACCAAAAGGATGATATAACTGGATAAATAGTTGTTATAGTCACAGCTATAAATATGAAACAGATTTATATGGTGTAGGTTGCTTCAGCCGGCATTGATGTGGTATAAATGAATACAGTCCTTCAGTTTGCTAAGGAGTGTTGCCTGGAGTTTTTATCACACATGGAAACCATGTTTAACCATACAGTGTGTAGATCCACAATTGGGGGTACTCACAGGTGCCGTGATGTTCCAGATCACGTTCAGGGAGTCAGATCACTCGACCACTCGTTGTTTTATAAAGCCGTAGGTAGGGGAACAATTTTCACTTTGAAAAGACTTTCTTTTTGTTCGGCAGCATCCCAATAGTTCGTTGTGTAATATCGTCTGGTCACAAACAGCGCTGTTTGTTTTGATTGACCGGGAATTTGTTACCTGACATGCAGGTAACATGCAATTAATTTTTTAGTAACTCACATTTTTTTAATACATTAAATAAAACTTCATATTTTTGTACCTGGCATTCCGATCCTCATTGTACTGCCCTTGATTTGATCTTCTTTTGGTCATTTCATCTTTTTTTTTAAGTCTAAAGTCCCTCCCTGGTATGATTCTTTTCCAATGGCAGCGCTCCCTCTCTTCCTATTAATAGATTACATTTTCCTTACCTGTTCGGAAGAGTGAAGGAATCCTCTTCTTTTCCCTTTGAAAATCATCACATTGGACAGCTCTGATTGGCAGAGAGAGGAGGGGTCACCACTGATAACCCTCCTACTCAGCATGTGTGATGAAGGCATTCTGTGTGGCTCTAGAATGTGACAATGTTGCAGATCATTCACTGCAGTCTCTGCAGCATTGTCACCTTTGTGGAGGAAGTGGCAGACACAGTCAGAATCAGATATTTAATAAAGTTAATCTGCATTATTAAGATTGTTTCACTGTTATATGCCTTATTGTAGTGTAAGTCCTGTTTTTTATTTCACTTTCAGTATAGTTGAACTTTGAAGCTGAACTCCAGGTATGAATTATTTTGCAAATTTACATTGGTCCAGGTTGTCCCAGTGTAAGTATGCATATGTCATACCTGATCGTATGATCAGGTATGGTTTTCCGAGTCCTGTGATGTGCTTGCTTCCCCTCTTTACTGAAAACACGGGGGGGGGGGCACTCACTCAGCACAGTGACCATTTAGAGAAAGTCTGGTATTTTTTATCAATAAACACAAGGGGTGCACTGATTGGATGAGGGACAGCTGATGACATCCCCACCCCTCACCCAGTCAGATAGCACCTAGTATTCATCAATATTAATCCTAGGCATTCTCGGAATGGCTACTGTGCTAAGTGAGCAACCCACTTGTGCTTTCAGAACAGAGGGGAAGCCCCTTAGCACAGCACAGTTTAGGACCTGGATGATCACAGCCATCACTGTAGTTGCTCCGGGCAACTACAGTGCTTTACAGAATCCCTAGTAGCTGATCAGGTATGGCATAAGCACACTTACACTGGGACAAGCTGGGCCAATGTAAGGTTGCATGTAAGCTTGGAGTTCAGCTTTAACCCTAACCCTTTGTTTTTTACAAAGTAATTTATCCTGTCAGCACTGATATAGTTAAAGAAGGCTTACAATAAAGTCAATAAAAAAATTATATTTAAAATTAAAAACAGAAATAAAAAAAGGCAAAATAAACAAATAAATTAAGAGGGGTATACTCTTATTTCAAATGTCAAATAATCTAAAATATTGTCTGCTGTGTGGAAAACCCTTTTCTTTTTAATTCTTTATTTTTCAATTTTCCTAATATTAGAAATTATACGGTAGACAATAATGAAAGCTCATAACATAGAAAGGTGCAACAAGTCTATTCTACAGTTTCCCACTCTCGTTCATACATAGTCCCAGGGATTACAGCTACCTTTTGTTGTATTTAATTTATAATTACATATAGGAAAGCAACTGGTGAGTAAATAGAGGTAAAATGCAGAACATTACCAAGTTATATATCTGTAACATTTTGGGGCCCCCTGCCAGAGTTTAAATTCCTCTCTTTCCTTTATTCTCCATGGGCCATGCCATTGTAAGGTCACTATGCATTTGAAGCCAGAGGAGGACTAAATGTCCTGTACTAGCAAAGCAAACTTCATGAATTACGATGCACAGCTTCAGTTCTGTTTGCTCATGCACTTGTCAGACTTGCTCAACTGCTGCAACATCTGGATTAAATATAGGGTATAGCACCCAATCCTTATGTAATTAGAAAATATTTGTATATGAAAGCTAATATACCGTAAGCCCTATAACTATGAAAACAGAAGATATCACAATCGTAAACCAAATTATGCTCAACTTTCACTTGATTTAGTTTAGTTCATTCAGTAAGGCAGTGCAAAGAGCAAAACTGAGGTGCAAAGTGTATTACCCATAAAGAGCCATCTGTTTATGTATCTAAAAGATGAACTCTGATGAAATGGTTCTTACGGAATATAGAACCGTACATTGTGTTCCTTGTCTTATTGAATAAACCTATTTATCTTAGTCAAAAAAACATATCGTAATACTCTCAAACACAATTCACTGCAATGTATTTAGAGTCAAAAAAGAAAACAAAAAAAGCATTTTTAGAATATATTTTGCTTAGTATTCTTACATGAATTCAGGAGAGGAATTGTAATATGTATATTGTATATGCATTTTCAGTATTGTTCATTATTCCATTTTAAAATCTGCCAAATCTACTCACCGGTATTCCAGCAATTCCTGGTGGACCAATTTGTCCTCGATCTCCCTAGGACACAAATAATGCACACAATCCTGTTTAGCAATCCAGAGCATGCTTTATTTATGAAACAAGAGAGACAAATGATATATTTATGGCTGAAAGAGCAGCAGTTTGTCATATACATTTTGTCAATGCTTAGCGAAGAATATAATTCATTAGCTAATCCAGTTGACACTTCTAATCTTGCTAGTCAGAATCCTCCATTATGTCTTTGTTCTGCAAATATGTAAACATTATTGCATGAGGATAAGTGGACCTCATGGGAAGTTATGCAGTGTTGAGTCAATTCAGCATGCCAAGTTACTTCTGTATTGTGCATTCTCCAAATGTTTTGCATATTGTAAGCTAAAGGATAATATATGTAGTCATCCCATTCTACATTTATAGCTTTTAGAAACCCTTAGGTCATAATATGTGCCTTTGGGGCAGACTCTAGGAAACATTTTAAATCTCATTTCATCTCTATTTCTTTTTTAGATCCAGATTAGTGCAATGAGTGAAATGATAACTTTATTTTCCTGAAAGATAAGTAGAGCAACTAACTGTCTATTTATTGATCAAATGCATGTATATAAATACAACATACAAGGCTAATACACTGAGTGGCCAGATTATTATGACCTCCCCATCAGTACTACGTTGGGCCATGAGATGACTCCACGAGATGTTGAAAAGTGATGCTAGGAATCTGACACTGCACTGTTGCTCTTCTGTTGTCTTGTACCAGTCTTGCCACTCTCCGTTCTGCCCTAACATTGACTAGTCACTGACGGCCATAATTCGCACGTTCAGGCCCAGATTTTAGACTGACAGTCCAGTCTTTAAACACTTTAACAACAGCTGCTTTTGAACATTTAACAAATTCTGCTGTTTTGCCGATACTCGCTCCATGGCTCCGAGCGCCAACAATCATCCCACATTCAAAGGCTGTTAAATCGCATTGTTTACCCATATCTTCAGAAAAAAATAACTTCTACTGTCGTGGTAAACAACCTGCTTCCCTATTTATAATGGTCTGGACCTCTAGCAACTTCAGCGCGAAATTATAGCTAATTATAGCTAATTTGCCTACAAACGTCGTGTGGTCATAATAATCTGGCCACTCATTGTATGTTTAATTAAGAATACTCAGTAAGAATATTTCATAATGGATTCATACTGATAAAAATAATATACTACATATTATCAGAGGGTATCGGTGACCTTTGCCAATAATTTGCCCGTGTAAGAATAGCAACACTACCAAATGATTCACATACCCTACCAATATTCAACCTGAAAATGATTAGCATGAAAAAATGCATTTGCTTCATTGGCTGCATCGACCAATATACTGTTACAATTTTAAATGTAACTGTAAATACAAAAATGCAGCAGCATGCCAAATGTAGTAGATCTAACATATTTTATTATTGTGTGCAGACAAATCTGTTAAAGATTAGTTCCTGCTGCCTCCAGACCCCTTCAACTATCAGATCCTTATGCCTCCTACTCATTCTACACTATCAGGTCCTACTTCTTCCTCCTCACCTTTCTCTACCATCAGGGTACCCACTGCCTGCCCACCTTCCTACTTCATTAGGGTCCTGCTGCCTCCTACCTCTCCTCCATTGTTAGGTCCCACTGCCTCCCCACCTCCTGCACTATTTGATGCCTCTTCACTATCAGGTTCCACTGCCTCCTAATCTGCTTACATTATTCTCTTCTGCTGACTCTTACCCCTCGTCCACTATCAGGTCCTGCCATCTTGTACCCCTTTTCCACTATTAAAGTGATATTAAAGTCAAAATGATTTTAAACTACTTCAAATGCTGATGAAATCACTTACAATAAATGCTGCTCCTTGATGATTAAAAGTCTTAGTTTCCTGCAGAAACAGCTGGTCGCCTGAGCACTGTTCCCCACTTCCTGTTTTAGAGTGACTCCTTTCTCAAGCAGAGTGCTATGCAGTCACCCTGGTGTGTGGTAGTAAGCTTTGTGCTCCAGAAACACACAGGCACCACAAATCAAGCTACTTCCCTCCCCCACAGGCCCCCTTTCCTCCCTTCTCCAAGCTAGTAGATGAACAGTTGCTGGAGTCTGTACTGTCCTTTGTGATCGAGTACTGGACAGGAAGTTTAGGGAAGCTGAGCTGGGAGCTGAGCAGCTGTCAGGAATACAAGGATTGCAAATGTTTGGGGAAAAAAGTAAAACAATGCTTAGCTGGGCAATGTGGAAAATTGGGAGGGAAATGTATCAATGGGTTCCAATGGCAACCGGAATTGCCTTTAGCTTTTTAGAAATCTTCCCTCATTTCCTGTTGCATACTACTTTTGCTTAGAATATGGAAGGATTAGAATCCCTGCCAGTTTATTTTTTGCTGTCTGTCTCATTGCGGAGATCCCCTTCACTTTTTTTCCCAGAGATGCAACAGAAAATGAGGGAAGATTTCTACAACATAAAAGGCAATTCCTGTTAGACAGCTGTCATCGGAACCCATTGATACATTTCCCTCCAAATCTTGTTTTGGTGACAGGGGATCTACTTCTTTCTATTCTACAGGAAAGAGAAAAAAGGGCTATACAGTTTTAAACCAGGACATTTACTCTCAAGTTTGTCTCATTAGCCAACCCAGTTGTCAGCATAATTTAGGCCCTGAAGCTCATTGCAAGTTTGAGTCCCTTAGATTCCATTTCAGCTGAATGATCAGCTGTTTAAAGGAATACGTCTGTCAAGTAAACAGGCTGTGAAGTGCATGTATATGTTGTAACTGTTGTACTGTAGTTGAATCCATAGTCTGTTGCGCTGCTTCCTTTTATTGAAGTGATCATGAAATCACCATCTAAATGTCATTACAAGATGCCCGCAGTCTGCACTATCATTGTTAGTGTGTCCTGTCCATTTCAACTATATAACTTGACAGAGGGCTTGCCTGAAAATATCTCACTAAAGCAGGCAAAAAAAACTAAATTCACTACAACAGAACACTATGCTTAGTGAAGATGGTAAGGAATAAAACTTTAAACAAGAATTTATTCTGTCATACCTTTTCCCCTGGGAGACCTTCAAGGCCTGGCAACCCCATAGGACCAGCTTCTCCCTAGAACAAATAACTTTTCACTGTAACCTGCATTGCATTAGACCAAACAGACAAAGATAATTTTACATTTAAAAGATCCAAACACACAATAAATCTGTCACTTTCTTTGTCACAGAATGTAATTTAAGCTTGCAAAGTTCACCTTTTCTGCAGTATTGTTAGAGCTGCCTGAGCGACAGTTTTAATTATCCTCCTACATGTTTATTTCACAATAAAATTCTGCAAAGGGTATCTGAAGCAAACTATAATTGCTGTAAAAGTCCTATTTTCTGATAGCGCATCTGAAGATATTAAATTTATTGTGCTGTGCAACAACACCTATGAATAATTTTCACATTGGCCCAATAAAAAGGTACAAAATGTACAATGGATTCACTTTTCTTCCGGGCAAATAGGTATAATAAAACACAGTAATAATGCAGTGTTAAAATACTACATTACCCAAAGCGTGGGATAAGGGGGGTTCAAAGTTGCTTGAATTATGATCTGAATACGCGCACCTCCAGACAGGAAATATAGAAAGGGCTATGAAGCGTGAATTCATTTTTATCTCTTGCTAAACAAAGCAATCGTTAAGGGCTAATTTTTCCTGTTCATTTTTGCATAGTAAAGTTAAATCAAGTCTACAACCCTCCTGCTTGTAAGTGAAAAGAGAAGCATTTTGAGTTGCAATATATAATTATGATAATTTTATAACAAAATCATGGAGGTGTGTACTCTCTTTAACATCCAATTTATTTTAGATGCTATGTGATAGTATATGATTTTAACCACACAACCTGTAAACATGGCCTGTAAATGATGAAAAACATTTTTCTTTTGCAAACTATCTTGGTAACCTTCGTTTTCTAATGTTGACTGTAATATGGAAGCCAATGCACAGTTGTAACCATTGCATTTGTCATTGCAAGTAAAGCTGGACTTAAGGCAAACAGCTAAACATATAATAAATATATGGGAGCCATTTTGCCTACTGCAGGATTTGTACTTCTATTCATCCAGTTCTGATATTTTCACAGCCTTGCAGCACAAGCAGCCTGGTAACCAGACTTTTCACTACTACAGTTAAAAAACACAGATTCATTGTAAAGTAGCTTCAGCAAACTGATGAAGGCACTTTTCTGCTCTCTGTTAGTGCTGTCTATATGCTTTTTGTCAACACTAATGAAAGCTGATTGGCTCCAAGCACTATCCATTCCTTTTACGGTGTGTGTGATGTATAGGGCATTAGAAGAAGCTGATACCAACTTAAAATCAATTATTAACAATAATTGCATTTAAAGAAACAGTTATTGACTTTTTAATAAATACATAGCTGCATATTCGTTTGTATGTGTAGTTCCTGCACAGTTGAGAAGCAGTGCAATTTGGGAAGAAACAATCAAATAACATTGGTATGTTGGTTGAATACATTGGATGAGAAAAGTACACACATAAAAAAAAAAAGAGTATACATGAGTAATAACAGCCTGGTGTTCTGAACCGAACACCTCAAATATATTCAGTCCCCATTTACGCCTGAAAATTTTGTGTACACATGGCAAACACACACAAAAATGTGTGCTTTGATGCACATTCAAGAAATGCATCACAAATGCGAAACAAATGTGCTGTGCCATTATCACCCTAAACACATCTGGGCAGATTTGCTACATATAATACTTTTCCACATTTGCCGCACGTGCAGGAACCCATTGAAACCAATAAGGACACACGGTAAATGCGGGAACAGAACGTGCATGAACGTGTGCAAATGTGCTGCGTGTTCCCAGTACACCTAGGTGTGAATGGGGGCTTACTCTTGGGAAGTATCTAACAAAAGTGGGTAGGAGTGAATTAGGAGTGCAAATATATTGATAAAACACTACTCTTGGGAGGTAAACTCTTCCCAAAGTCGCAGTGGGGTACTTGAAATTCATAGTTTTTAAAAAAAAATCTGCCTGGAGTTCAACTGCTGAACTCCAATCAGCTTATTAAAACCCCCTTTTTGTAGCCCCTTTGACATAGTAAGGCCTTAATGCTTGCTCTACCTTATTAGTCTTATTTACCTTATTCCTAACGCCCCCAGCAGCCGGTGCTCTTCACCACAAGGAATAAGGTAAGTAATTATTTTTATTTTATGTCCTCTAGACTAAACACGCATAAGAGCCTTGCTATCCAGGGGGGACGAGGGAGTTTTCAATGAGGATTTATTTTAGCTGACTAGAGTCCAGCTTTAAATTCTTTTCTATGTCCCAGCTTTCTTAGGGCAGTGGCATAGACTTGGTTAACAAGAAATAAACTTTAAGTGTTATATACCTGAATATGAATTTGGTTTATGTGAAAAAGCATTCAGTGCAAACAATTACAAGAAAAACAAGTAGAACAATTCTGGTGCAAAATACCAACTTATTGCTAAGCCCATTTTTAAAAGGAGATCACAAAATAAATCTTCACTTTTACATCTTGACTCTCTCAAATGGTTAAATTGTAACACTAGGTTGCACTGACCTCTGTCAGGCACTGACCAATTGATGAATGGCAGAAAATCCATATCAGATTAAAGTCCTGATGGGATTTGTATTTTTTGGGATTATTTATGCTGACTAACGATAGACACTCAATATATAAACTAACTAGATGTTAACTGGGTAATTCACTTGCATGTACTGTAAATAAAGAACTATGACATTTATGCTATGTGTACTAGAAGAGACATCTTTGTGATGCATGGCACCATATTGCAATCTTTTCCTTTTAATCTGTGCACACAAAAGCCTTCATGTATCTTTTTTATGAAGGTATAAAAAGTACTGCAAGTGCCTTAGCTGAAAAAGACATACTTGCTCTAAAAATAAACTTACCACTGGCTGTAAGACTGAAATAACAGAACATCAAACTATAAGTGTTGTTTTAATTATTTTGGGTTGCTTGCCTGTGAGCTCAGTTGCTTAGATTTTTCATTTTAATTTTCAGGAACACCATGTGCCTCCAGGTTGGTATTCTGAAACATGCTGGATATGATTTACACTTGATCAGATGGTGTAAAGTATCCGGTGCTTGTGTGCTAACAACTACCATTCAGAAATGGTGTTTTTTGGTTTTCGTTATCAGGCATAGTAGAAGCTCTTTCGCTTGTATTATGTAGTGAAATAAAATTTGCCAATATTAAGGTAATTTGGGAACAATTCTTATACATATAACACACAACAAAGAAATATTTCAGCTACTGCCACCAAAGAAAGCTGGTAAAAGTCCTGTTAATAGACTTCAGGAAGGAAGCAGGTATACGCACAGGAAGGGCCTGCAATAGATATAAGATGCATGGCATGAAGTTCATTTTAATGATGTTGTATCTCCCAAACCAGGAAAACTGCCCCTTCTTTTAATGAAGATGATCTTGTTTAATCTTATGTAGGAGATCAGGGCAATAACCTGAGATAGATCTCTGGGGATGAACGTGGCTTGGTACTTAATGTAAGAGGAGGACCAGCGGAACTGGAAGTAAGAGTGTAAGGAGTCAACAATCCTCCTGGGATGGAGATGTTCTGCGAATCCGATTTAGAGTAATTAATCAGAAAGTGTGAAACAGCAGTGTAGCCACTGATTTCCTTTAACAAATTTGGTAACGAAGCAGTCGGATTGGTGATAAAGAACAAAAGGTCGTCCGTGAAAGCAGCACCCTTCTGCATAGAGGTATTGGGAAGTTCCAATTCTAAGATATCTGGATTAAGTCTATCTGTTCACAAGAAATGTTTCTGGTCACAGTCTTGAGCCGTGTTCAGAGAAAAGTAGGTGGAAAGTTTCATCTCAGTAGCTTCACTACTGAGGGATCATGTAGCAGGGACTCATTGAGCCGCCAAGACCAAGACCCTTTGGGAGCTTCAGTCAATAGTATTAGGATTAGTATTTTAGTCATCGGAGCTTAACATCATATACTGTACTAATCTAAAGTGAAATTTCCCTTGCAAAGTGAACAGCTTATTTGCATCTATTAAATCAAACTCAGTAGCTACAAACTTACAAAATGGTTATATTTTAAAAATACATACCATAGGACCCTGGTCACCTTTTGGACCCTGAAATTATAAATAAACATTCCCTACTTTATGTTCACATAATAATAAAGATACACACATTATCAGTTTAATGGTCACTTTGGGATGGACTACCAAACTGCATACAATTTTAATGAGTTGAGGTGTTCCTCGACAAAGTTGTACATCAATTTATGGATCTTGCAGATCAAAATCTGACTGTTAATAGCCAGGCTTTATACTAACCATAAAATATATGTATATATATATAAATAAATGAACTGTTAGGTCAACACATTTTACCAATCACTATGTACTGTGGGGTTCTACCTCAAATGTGTCCTGTTGGATAGACCCTTACACTTCACAGTTGTGGTTATTTTATTAATTTAACATATGTCATCTGAAACAAAATCAATCAGTGTGTAGCCTCCACTGTGTCAACTGCACAAATTAGAACTCTGTAGCATGGCCTCTTGCATGTGAAAATAGGACGTGACAATGAATGTTGCACCCAATTGTCTAGCTGATTTGATGCTTTATATATACACCAATCATCAAAATGTAGTACAGCAGGAAAATCCATGTCAAACAAACAACATGAATGCACTGGCTTATAACATACACATTTATACCAGACACAAAAAGCTTAAATCTCCCATACACAAGGCTTAAATGTACACATTTTTAAATGCACACAATTCAAAAAGTTTATCTCATATATACTATCTGCATGTAATCTTTGCTCATAATTTATGTTGGCCAAGTTTGTACACTGACTAAGTGCAAAGCTCTAATTACAAAGAAAAGTCTTACACATTGGTACTGGAACATCTGCCACTGCATTTTTAATGTCCCCTTAACTTGTCTTTCAAGTGTTCTGCATGATTTATGTTGGACTATATGCGCGAATGTAGCAGAAGTGACAGTCAGACTGGAAGAAAGAACTGGGAAACCTTTGAAAATTTCTAATTTAAATGGCAGTAAAAGAACCATGCTATGATCTTAACATTAATTTTATACACAGTTTGAAAAATTATCTTCGGGGTAAAAAATGGCAAATCGTAAAATATAATTAAAAATGCCTGTGAAGAAAATACTAGAGTCTGTAATAATGATGAGATTTTCAATATACTAATACTTTACTGCTTTCAGCACCTGTGCTCTGAAGGATGGGGGAATTGGCTAACAAGGTCCCTACATATAGCTAGGTCTCTTCCTAGTAAACCTCGGGGCATTGTGGTTGGGGAATAGCAATATAACCCTTTGGCTTTAATTACTTTGGGACAAGTCATTAGTTCAATGCATTAAAAGTAGCAAGTTTTATTTTACTTTGGCTGTTGAACATTTTACTGTTTCAACACTGCGCTAGAATTGTTTGTTACTATGATTTGTTTTCTGTTCTAACAAGACGATGTCCTATCTCCTGCCTGCCACCTGACCCATGGCCTTGGTACATACTGCCATTTTTAATTGAGCGAATGGCTTTTCCCAATGTAATTGAAGCTGAAAGCTTATATTACCACTTCCAAAAATTATTTAAAAGTAGATGTTTGTCTTAGAATCTAACAATTTTCCTATCAGCTCTGCAGTTATTGCCAGTGGGACTTTGCAAAGAATACCCAATCAAGCAAGGAAAATAAAAGAAAACTGTATTCTTGCTTGTACATGATTGGATGATGGAAGTCAGCAGAACTTCACCACATTCACTAAGCTAAAAGAAAATTCCCTTGCAAAGTGAACAGCCTATTTGCCTTTAGTATATCTCTCTTATACATCTTGTCTTGAATTGTATTGTGATTGTAATGTCTTCCTTATATTGTAAAGCACTGCACAAACTGTTGGCGCTATATAAATCCTGTATAATAATAATAATCAAGTGTCTTGCTGACTTTTAAGTTGAAGATTGGTGTTGCTATTACACATGCTCTAGAACACCCAGATGCTATAGTATATCACAAGAATGCTATCTAAAATGTCAATGAATAGTTCATTGCATGGAGTCCAGAAAACAAAAGTAACTTTTTATTTATGGACGGTGTTATCTGTGATGCCGGCAATAAAATACACTGGGCATAATAAAAATGATATAAAAGCTGCAAGTAAGGTGACAGATTTTTTAAAATTATTTTTATATCAAGCATACTCCAATTATGAGATCTTTATGCCACAGGTAACGGTTTTGTTGCAGCCTCTTTGCCCTGATACAACAGGGGTGTTTCCAAAAATCCTGTTGTACTACCTATTGATTTAAAATGCAGCTGGGTGGATCTCAACAGTAACGTCGGGATCCATCCCAGCTGCGGCGGTCTCAGTATACCGCGAGCTGTAGCTAGCGATATACTGAGCTTTGGGTCACGGGAGGACACTAGTTTATGTCCTCACGTGACCCTTAAGAGAACTATGGGGAAAAACACTTACCCCATAGTTCTCTTTTAAATATAAGTTCTGGGCAGACTTTACCAATATAAGTTTTTCTGGGCTGATGTATTTATAGGAGATGTTGTTGTTCACAATCTGAAGACCATCGCTCACTGTGCCTTACATATCAATGGCTCAATGTATATTGTGTGGGTATTTACATTTCATAATTCCATTAGGCCTACCATTCTGTTAGGGTGCCCATACACCTTGCAATCATCGAACAAACTTTTTCGTATGATGATCCAACAGTTAAACAATTTTCGTACGACGGCCCCATCATGCGTAGACCATCAAATAGTTCAATTAGCGCTCATTAGTAAAATCACCTGGCCGAATTTCGTGAACGGATTTATGTTTGCGCATTAGCAATGTTAATGGTGCGATGTTTGATGTACGAAAACGCCACCAACCTAGCAAATTTCGTACGATTCGACAGAAGTTTTCTAGCCTGCTGGAGAGTCAAAAGTAGAACGATTGTACAGTATTTCCGGTTGTACACTGCCCATCAACCTGGCGAATATCGTACGAAAACGCGGAAAATCGGATGATATTCGTAAGGTGTATGGTCACCTTTAGAGTAGTTCTGGTACAGTTTAATACATGTTCCCTCACTATAATAAAGTGTGATTTTCAAATGAAAAATGGTGGGGTAAGAAATCTTACTGATAAGTATGTCAATTTTTTTAGAACCAAGAACACAGTCTTTTATAAAACTCAACACATACCGGAGGACCAGGTGGTCCAGGGATGACAGCTGCAGGAGTCCCCTTTAAAGAGAACAGAATCATATATATATATATATA